ATGTGGGGCTCAATCCCAGGACCCTGGGATCATGACCTGAGCCGAAGGCAGATGCTTAATGACTGAGCCACCCAGGCGTCCCTGGGATATTCCTCTTAAGTGAAGCAAAAAATGGAGTGGCAGGTAGAGGGTGTTGTAGTACATATATTCACAAATACATATATTTAAGATGAGAAAAACTGCACATTATTATGCTAATGGGAAAGATTCAGTAGACAAGAAAAGATGCAGAGAAGAGGACACTTGCAGGAATGATGTCCTAGTTTAAGGATGGGATCGAATACAAGAGAAGTTGGCCTTAGATAAGAGAAACAAGTATCACCCATAGTAACAGAAAGGAAAGGAAGAACGCAGAGAGTTACCTTCTGATTGCTTTTATTTTTCTCAGTTAACTAGGAAACCAGGTCACCAGCTGAGTGAGGACTGGGTGAAATGCTGGAGTTGAGAAGAGAGAAGCTATAAAACTGTAGTTCAGGAGGCTGGGACCTTAGGAGACTGGGACAATGACTGGACTAGGGAGACAAATGCTTGAGGTTACAGTCAGGAATTTAAAGTGGGACCAGTCACTGTGGCTCTGTTTTTCTGCAGCCACATCTAGCCTCATGGGGACAGGAGTGGTATAGGCAGACCTAGAACGTTTTTCTTTTTTTTTTTGGTGAGATGCTCTGTTCCTTCATTTAAATACTGTACTGTATGCTACAATTTATTAACCCCATTCACTTACTGAAAGACATCTGTGCTGTGTCCCTACTGTTACTATTTCGGACATTGCAGCATTAAGCATCCTTGCGCATGTCTTTGTGCTCACCCAGGAGAATTTCTAGTCCAGAATATATATCTAGAAATGGAATTGCTGGGCCATGAGGTATGCTTAGCTTCACTCTTACTGGATGGATATTGCCAAATTACTCCTCAAAATGATTATACCAGTTTATCCTCTTGCCAGCAGTGTACACAAGTTCTCATTTCCCCCCTGCCAGACTTCTAAATTTTGGCCAGCCGAATGGGTATGAAATAGTATCTTACTGCCTTCCTTTGCAAAATTCTGGTTTTAAGATCGAGCACCTTTTCATTTATAAGCCCGTCTTCTTTGTCTGACAACAAATCTCCACTCCACTGTTCACTTAGCAAGATTAAGTACCTACCATGTGACTGGCATTGTGATAAGCAGGGGAACAAAAAAGTTACCAGAGACACAGACCCTCCTTTCTGGAACTCATAATCTAGTGTGAGGTGGGGGTGGGGAGAAAACCAAATAATCACAAATACAAACCGTAGTAACATAAAGCACATTAACAGTAATCTATGAAACATTAAAAGAGGGTGATCAATTTAGTTGAGGTAGGGCAGCAGAATCCTCCCAGAAGTGACATCTGCATTTTAACAGATGAGTAAGAACTAACTAGTTCAGCAGCTATAAAGAACTAGGCGTACTGTCATCGGGCATACTGTGTTTTCCTGTCTTCCCAGGCCAGCGCAGCGGTGTGCGAGATGCTGTGGCAGACATGATGCCCGCCCTGGGACCCTTCCCCAGACACACCCAGGCACCAGGGGTGGGAGCCTGGTTTTCTCCTAGCTCCCTTTTGTAATGTTGAGACTATTACTCCTGCACTATTGTATCCAGTTTATTCCTGTAGGAGTCTCACACCATCTGATTATATTAACCTATACATGCTGACCCAGAAAACCCACTTTGGATATTTTACCTCATTCGGGATATTTTAAGAAAAAATTCTGTAGGAAAAAAAAAAGGTGTTTCAAAAGATAAAAGTATTCAATGTCATTATTATAAAAACCAATACCAAACCCAATCCAAATGTGTCCCAACAGTAAGGGACTCAAGGAGATCTTGAGACTGTAGAGTAACATGGAAAATATTTATGAAAAATGGTGTTTGTTTTTTTTTAAGTACAAGATTTTACCCATAATATGGTCAAATGTAAATAACATCTTGATACATTAAGGTATGAGGGTTATGGGTGAATTTAGGTAATTTAATTTACTAAAGTAGTCAGGAAAAGTATTCCGAAGCCCTTTACCATTTTGTCTTTGCGTGGTGTCCAACCTATCAGCAGGTCCCTTCATTCACTCCTCCCAAAACAATAGTGCATTATATGCAGCTCCTTGAATATGAGCATGGCTCTGGAGACAACACAGTTAAAGGTAAAAAGCTATGCCTTTGTAGCCAGACAGTCCTGGGTTCAAAGCCTGAATCTGCCATGGGAAATACTACCTCAAGGGAATTACTTTACCTCTCTGGCTACCCCACCCCCGTTAGAAAACAAGGATACTTGTATTAGGTTTCTTTAATGCAAACAACAGAAATCTGACAAATTAGCTTAATCAAAAAGGGGTAAATTGGACCACAGTGGGGAGCCCGCTGAATCCCAGGAAGGGTTTCAGAATTGAGCCAGTTCCAAAGGACCTCGAGATTAGCAATGAGAACACCATGTCAGTTGCATCCCCTCTCTGGTAAGGAACTGGGCTCTAGGCAGTTCTAGGCCTTCACCTTTCCAGCCTAGCAACACAAAATTAAAGTGTCCCTGCCAAAGCTATTTTGAACATTTTCTGGCAAAGAACTCTGGCTCAACTAGGTCACATGCTTGCCCCTAGAACTATCACTAAGCCCCAGGGATGTTAACTTTTGTTCCTGTGGTCAGTACAGCAGAGATGTTACAAGAAAAAGAGGGAGAAAAAAGCTGGGCAAAGACAAGAGCTAACATAAGACCTAGAACAAGGAGGTGTAAGGATTAAATGAAATGATGGCTATGAAATATTTCACACGATTTCTTTCTAGTGGTAAGCATTGAATAAACAGTAGCTATTATTAACTCACCTGACCGTGATGAGTTTAGCAGTTAATCCCTCCTCCTGGATGCACCATACTTTAATCTTAGCCAAGTTCTGAAAACTGAAAAAGACAAACTGACTCCCATTCAACTAAGAAGGCTATTTATTGAAATAATACAATGATGTTACAAGGATGTATTTCATGTGGCCTAGGAAGCTGGGTGTTCATAAGTGCATGGTGCCTGGTTGCTGGAACTCGAGAATCCTCTGCTCAATCAACCACACATACCACGGACATTCTGGGCTCCTTCTTTGTCAATGCAGATGTGCTGAGATTCAGAGATTGGTCGGATCTAGGCCAAGTTCCACACACAAACCAGTGGTTTTCTTTGAGTCTTCTGGAACTAAGTCTTTACAAACTTCTTTTAAAGTAGGAAAGCACTCAACTGGTTCCAATTTATGTCATTCTTGCAAATAGTCCACTATGCGGATCCCCAAATAATCAGCAGCAAATAAGTTCCTGATAAGCATGGCAGCCACTCAGTGGAAGGGGGGGTCTGTATAGAATTACCCATTGTCAAACTATGTATCAGACAACACATGGTCTTGGCACTGTGTGTGTGTTAAGCATGGAACATCACAAACAAGATATTTTTGAACAGTTAAAGTCTTGGAAGGGCAGATTCCCATCTTGTTCCACTTGTAATGGACTCATTGTGCTAGACATCACACATTTCAGCCCCCATGCACATTTTTCCTGCAAAGAATTATGAAGAATATTTGGGAGTTACTTCCTGTTGTCCAGGATGAGAGAAGGATAATGGATCTTGCTACTTGGCATGTAAAGAAGACAGTAGGAAAGGTTTACCATCAACATCACCTATATCATTCCTCTCCATGATTCATCAGGGTGGGAAAATTTACTTATCTTTAGAGAGGAGAGGTTCTTGTGTGAAAGGGGTCAAGGTCCACAATTACTTCCAAATTTATCTCCACTGTTGGCACCTTTGGGATTCTTTTAGGATAGCCTACGGTAGGCATGAGAGAACATTAGGGATTGGAGTGGGCTACTGATGCTTATCTCATGCTTTACTGGTGGAAGAGCATGAAGTATTTCCTTGGCACACAAAATGGGTCATTACATGGGTTCTCTAAACTGATTTAAAGATAGATTTTATGACAATGGGTAATTACATTTATACTCCTCCACAGTAAAATTAACTTGGGGAGAATGTTTCCTCTTTAGTTTTGTGCTGTTTTCCCACTGATCCAATATAGGAAGCTTGGGGCAGTGCCTTGTCATGGGAGTGTCATAAAAAGCACAGTAAGAGGACTGAGCAGGTCTATGAAACTGACATGTTAGTTGAATGTATAAATATTACACTTGGGAAAAGGAAAAAGGTCACCAGCAGTTGAACTATTCACAGGTTTTGTTAACATTTTGGTATGTAAGCTTCCAACAAGTTGTTCTGAATAAGTCTGTGACAAATCTGCCTCTGTATTTTGCTGTCTCTTATGCTTTTATGAATTCCTAGAGTATCCAACTCAAGTGCTCATTAGTTTGTGCATCTGATTTATTTTAAAATTTACTTTAAAGCCCTCTGAATTCCATTTCAGTGGCTAGACCACAGGGTCAAAGATCCAGGAGACCCGCTTTCTCCACCCAGCTTTGCATTATAAGCTGTATCACACTGTGCAAACCACTTCACATCTTTGGCTTTTGGTTTCTTATCTGTACAATGAAGTGGTTGGACCAGCTGATCTCATTCTTTGAATGGTGGATTCCGGGAGGTGGAACTGGTTTCCATGGTGAATTTAATGTAAGAGCTGCAGTTGAATGCGGTCATCAAGCAATTTTAAAATAAGTTTTGGTCATTACTGCAGGAGTTTTATTAAAAAAGGCTGTAAACACAGAGTTACAAGTCAAACTGTTCAAAGTTGATGCTCTCCTGCATACATATATTCAAAAGCTTTATAAAGTCCAATACATAGGCATATCATTTCCAATTGGTTATATATGATGTTTATAGTTGTTTTTACAAAGTCTGTAATCAGATTTGAGAATGTGGCTTCTATTTATTAAAAAAAACATTGTCTACTAGCATAGAGCTTTCTTCACACACCACACACACACACACCATTACATTCTCAAGCTTCCTCTCTAGTAAGAATCCTGTGATACTGAATAAGAACAATAGTTTAGCTAAAGTTTTCTGCACATTCCTTAATTTCAGGGCTTCTACAGTTTATTTCGTGCATGAATTCTCTGGTGTTTAGTTAGTGCTGAACTTCTACTGAAGTTTTTCCCACATTCCTTACAAGCATAGGGTTTTTCTCCAGTATGAATTCTCTGATGATCATGCAGATTGGTTTTCTTTCGAAAGGCTCGCCCACATTCATTACATTCATAGGGTTTTTCTCCAGTATGAGTTCTCTCATGCTGAATGAGGGATGAACTTTGACTGAAGGCTTTCCCACAGTCAATACATTCATAGGGTTTCTCTCCAGTGTGGGTTCTCTCATGCTGAGTAAGTGATGAGCGTCGACTGAAGGCTTCTCCACATTCATTACATTCATAGGGTTTTTCTCCAGTATGAATTCTGTGATGCTCTATGAAGCTTGTACTCCTTTTGAAAGCTTTTCCACATACATTACACTGATAGGGCTTCTCTCCAGGATGAGAAATAGGTTGTTGACTAAAGTTCTGCTCACATTCATAGGGGTTCTGTCCAGTATGGATCCTCTGATGATCAGTAAAGTCAGTAATGTGACTGAAGTCTTCCCCACAGTCATGACAATGATAGGATTTCACTTCAGTGACAGTGCTTTCATCTTGAGTAAGAGATGGGTTGTGCTTGAAATCTATGCTGTAGTTATTGCTTTGGTAAGGTTTGCCTCTCTTATGAATCCTCATATGTTTATAAAGGGATGGACTCTGACCAAAAGCCCTCCCACATATGCTACATTCAAAAGGTTTCTCTCCTGTATGAGTCCTTTCATGCTGGACAAGGGAAGAACATCGACTAAAGGCTTTCCCACATTCCTTACACTGGAAGGGTTTCTCTCCACTATGTGTGACTTCATGCTGAGTGAGGGATGTGCCATGCCTAAAAGATCTCCCACATAAATTGCATCGATAGGGTTTCTCTCCAGTGTGAATTCTCTGGTGCTGAACAAGGGAGGAGCTGCGCTGGAAGGCTTTCCCACAGAGACTGCACTGGTAAGGTTTCTCTCCCGTGTGAGCATTCTCATGCTGACCAAGGGATGAGCTATGTCTGAAGGCCTTCCCACACACATTACATTCAAAGGGTTTCTCCCCAGTGTGAATTCTCTGATGCTCAGTAAGTTGTGTCTTCCAGAGGAAGGTTTTTCCACAGTCAGTACATTCATGGTGTTTCTTTCCAGGATAAATTCCCTGATCTGTACCATTGGGGAAAGCTCCTTCTCCTTTATGAGTTTTCTCGTGTTTAGTGAGTGATGATCTATGAATAAAGGCTTTTCTACATTTGTCACATTTATAAGGTTTCTTTTTTGCAAGGATATTATTCTGATTAATTACATCTGAATTATGTCCCAAATTGCTTCCAAGTGTATCACATTCAGTAGGCCTTGAAGGAATGTTCAGTTGTGTAACCAGGACTGTGTTCAATCTAGAATTTTCACCAAATTTATTTTGCTGAAAATTTTCCTCTGGTGTGATTATTTTCTTCTGGTTGGATGCACCTGGCCCCAGGTACCTTTTCCAGGTTTCCTGGTGTCTCTCTAATTGGCTACTAACATCCCAAGTGCTTTCAAATGTGGCATGCGAAAGGCCATCTGTGCTACGGGATCCTGCAGATACGCTCTGTTGCAGATGTGATGATTTGGCTTCAGGCCTGGTCTTCCAGTCTGAAAAAAATCCAAAGGGCAAAAGTCCCCTGTTCCCTCCTCTTGAAACAAACTGCTACAGTAGGAATGGGGAAATGAAAGAAATATAAACTATATGTGATTCTGTTTTGAAATTAGTCCTGTAGTTTGGAGAGAAGACCCAAATGAAGGAAAGGAAAAGTAAAAAGAAGTGACAGTGCAGACTGCAGAGCCAGAGTGTATGGCAAGTCTAGAATGAGGAAGCCCCTCCAGGAGGGCTGGTTAGGATATAAGGGAATAAGTGAGCATGAGAATGTTAGGCACAGACACAAATGGAATACAATCATGGTCTGTCTTGTAAGATCCTAACTGCTCTCCATGCTTCTTGTCCCTTTTACAAATCATCCCAAAATCTGTCTTCCTAATTCAGCCATTTCACAATTTCTTTAAAGTCACCTCTGAGGCTCCAAATCTTCAAATCCTACAGAGATCCGCAGCCACTGATGTGACTCTAATCATTCTTTGACATACTTGGAGACCAAAAGCTATACTTTACAAACTGAGATAAAGTAATATTTCAGGAGGCAAATCATCATTGCCTTTACAAATAGGGCTCTGGTTTTAGCCTCTCTGAGTTCTGGTTCTACACTAATCACCTCTCTTGACCAAAAAGGATTTTACTCAGCCTAATAAATTGATCTCTAAACCCCTGTTTCATTTCAGAATACTAACAGCAGACAATTAATTAGTCTCTAGGTTCTAAAAATGGTAATTTTTAAAAACTAAAGGGAAGGAGGGCTCTGGAGTGATGGAAATGTTCCAAATTGAAATGAATTTGGATTAGATGGGTGAATGCATTTGTCAAAAGCAACTGGACAGTACTCAGAATGAGTTGCATAGCTTACTGTATACATATTTTTATTGAAAAAACCATAAATACTGAACTTTGGTTAATGATATGTATGCTGAAGTGTGTAGGGGTGAAATGTACTTGTGTTGGCAACTTAGTTGGAAATGCACCAAAAAGTAAGACAGATTAAAAAAAAAAAAAAAAAGATGATGGGATAGATGACGAATATGTGATAAAGCAAATATAATAAAATTTTAACAACTATAGAATCTTGGTGGTAGGAATATGGTGTTCACTGTATAATTTTTTCAACTTTCCATACATTTGAAAATATTCATAATAAAATGTCAGGAGGGAAAAAACCAACAACCAAGGGGCCCTAAGCCTCAAAATTCCTTACCCTGGAACAAGACTCAATTCTAATTTCCCAATGACAGAAAATGCTTTGTATTTCTTCTAGAATATTTCTCAGAGGGATATTCAAGAAATGTTTGTTGATATGAATGAATGAGAAAGTTCTCTCCCCAATCACATTCAAAAACAATCAAGTAATTCCTGACTGCTTTCTATGTGCTCTATAACACAGATAGAATACACAGATATATAATAGACTCTTTCTCCAAGAGCTTGAAGTCTTAGAAATAAGAGTCAATATTTTGATAAAAAAGGAAAACCATTAGATGGTATATTTTTAAATCTGAGCTTGTGCAGTAAAAGATGATATAAATGGTACTTGTGATCAGGGAAGGAAGAAATAAATATATAAATACATATTATGTTCATGGATTGAATAGACAACTTTGGATAGGTAGAAAGTATTATCTAATTAGGGAAACTGTACACTACTTACAGAAAACATTAAAAAGAAGTTCAACCCAAGCAGAACTTGTTTTAGTGGGAATGGAAAGAGAATACTGGAAGATACAATAGGGGACCTTAAAATCAAGGGGGGATTTGTTTCCTATAATGAGGTACAGGGAGTAACAGCAAGGTTTTGTCAGAGGTAGGTGGTTTATGAAGATAAAGCATTAAAATCCAATATGGTCCACCAAGTGATGAGCAGATAAGCAAAATGTGGTATGTCCATACAATGGAATATTACTCAGCAATAAAAAGTAAGGAGGTACTAATACGTGCTACAACATGAATGAACCCTGAAAATATTATGCTAAGTGAAAGAAGCCAGTCACAAAAGGCTACTTATTATATGACTCCATTTACATAAAATATCCAGAAATGGTAATCCACTGAGATAAAAAGATTAATGGGTGCAGGGGTATCAGGGAATGGAGAGTGACTGCTAATGGGTATGGGGTTTCTTTTTGGGTGTTGAAATGTTCTGTAGTTAGATACTGGTGATGGCTGCACAACTCAGTAAATATCTGAAAAACCACTAAACTGTACACTTTAAAAAGGTGAATTTATGGTATGTAAATTATATCTCAAAAAAGCTATGATCTTAAAAATCCAATATTGGTTATAAAAGACTGAGCAATTTCAACTGGAAATTATAGTAATATCCTCATGGGCCCTAATTTGGGAGGAAAATAACGTGAATTGCATGAAAAAGACTAAACTGACTGGGGTGTTTGGACTGAGGGATTACAGATCCACTGGTTTCTTTTTTTTTTTTTTTTTAAGATTTTATTTATTTATTTGACAGAGAGAAAGACAGCAAGAGAGGGAACACAAGTAGGGGGAGTGGGACAGGGAGAAGCAGGCTTCCCGCGGAGCGGGGAGCCTGACATGGGGCTCGATCCCAGGACCCCGGGATCATGACCTGAGCCAAAGGCAGACGCCCAATGACTGAGCCACCCAGGTGCCCTTGATCCAGTGGTTTGTAATGGGCAAGGGGAGAAACAGGTAATGGGCAAGGTAGCAAAATGTGCTGGCTGGGGATGAAAGATGATTAATTTAGATTTTAGGTATTTAACTGCATGGGACTTCCACAAGGAGGGGTCCTGTGAGACGGGAAAAAAGTGGCCAGGGTACAAGTAAGGATGATTTCTGAGTCCAAAGCACAGAATAAAGAGCTGTAACTACCACCCTTGTAAGGTGGTAATACAGAAAGAAAGGGGAGGAAGCTGAAGAGCAGACTCCTTAGGCAGATTCACTTAGGGGGGAAACCAAGCAAAGTCAAAGACCTAAAGCCAAGAAGTACTTAGTAAGCCAGAAGACCAGGAGAGAAGGATACTCCAGGAGCCATGGAGAGGCAATGAAACAAACTGGCATGAAAATAGGATGGAAGGAAGATGGCACTCCTCCCCAGACAGGTGTTGTAGGAATGTGGTCAGGGAAAGAAGTCTGAAAGCAAGTTATGAAAAGATGGAGAATCAAAGCCGTGGGTACTTCTACAAGTCTGGGGCCACCGACCGTAAAAGCAGCAAGACAAAACAAGAAGACATGGGAGTTCAATTAATGTCTGAATGAGTAAGAAAAGGGATTGATAATCATGATGGGAGACTGAGGACACCAGAGGAGAAAATCCAGCGATAGGATCACAGTATAGGGAGAAATGGTATTCTGTGTAGGACAAAGGGGTACATTTTCTTCTAAGACCTGTCAGCAGCAGGAACACCCTTTTGCAGAAGGGAGACAGAGGTATCACCCAGGAGATAGCTTAGTTTTCCTCTGCAGGTCTAGGAGCTCCCAAGGCACCAATATGAAGGTGCTCCCCCCCTCCCTCAGCTGTGCCACTGTCTGCATTGATTCCTGCATGCCTGAGTCCTCCTCATTTACCTGGACAGAAAGGTCTTTGGATTTCTCCCTCTGATATCCACGGCTCTTCTCCTTGTTCCAATTTGAAGATCACCTCTGGCTTGGAAACTTGATATCCTGCTCATGGGTAAATACACAAGATTTGGTTGTTTGGGCAAGTGGACAAAGACCCCTCCTACAAGTCAGTACTAGTCCTGGATCTTCAGGAACTCTGAAGGAAAAAAAAAGTGCAACTTGAGGAGTCATGCAATCAAATGACCTATTTCCAGTTCTGCAAAAGAAAGAACTTTACGTAAAGAGCAGGCTCAGAAAACTGTAAAGCTGAGTTGTAAAGAGAAGAACAAGCTCTAACCGTGCATACCCTGCTCATGGCCACCTGATCTACAAGCCCCACAACCTTAGCACCTGAGAAAGGAAAAACCTGCCAGTGGGCAAGATACTGACTTGGTCCTTACCAAGAGAAACCAGGTGGCTATAGTTCTCCAGCATCACATCCCTGTACAAGCGCCTCTGAGCTGGGTCCACGTGGTGCCATTCTTCCTGGGTGAAGTCCACAGCCACATCTTTGAAAGTCACTGATTCCTGTAGGATCACATTCCTGTTCAACTAGGGATCAACACCACAAATGTTCCCATGGCAATACTGGGAACATACTGTAGGCTCATCAGAAACGGTGATCACACATTTGATATCTTGAGGGGAATGTTGGGTTAAATACACTAGTTGCTTACATAATTTTGTAAAGAATCCAGTATGGCAGGCAGGAAAGTCACAAGGGGCAATATGTTCTGCAATCCCGTATCCCTATTTAGCTATTGTGTTTTCCTGGAAAGCCACACCTTGTCACACAATCACCAGTTCCTCACTGCCCATGCACTTCCTTTGTTACAAAATCCAAATATACTGGGGAGTAAAAACAACAGCCCTCCTTCACCCCCTCACCAATCCCCCTGTGCTCCCTAGAAATAAATACTGTTAACCGTTTGGTACGTACATACAAGAGTCCCTACTCCATGCTTCATTCACAAAGAGTCTTGTTTTGTGAAATACCTTACATACTGCTCTACAACTTGCTTTTTGCATTTAACTATGTATCTTGGAGATCTTCCCATAGGGGTACAAATAATTTTACTTTATCCTTTGAATTGCCTCGTAGTACGCCATAAACAGCTGTATCATAACATATTCATTGCCTAAAACCAACAGCATTGCTGGTTTACAATATCTATTGTACTAAGGATAAGATTCAGATATCCCCACCACTTACTGGACTCTAGCCAGGCTGCCCTTGATGATCCCTGAATACATCTAGCTTGTTCCTACCCTGGGGCCTTTATACTTGTTACTCCCTCTTCCCTTAGGATCTCCACATGGTTAGAAACTAGTTTCTAGTTATTCCGGTCTCACCTCGAGCACATCCCCTCAGGAAAGTTGTCTTAGCACCTCCCTCCAATTTACTCTCCATCACATTACTATGTTAATATTCCTCCAAGCACAGGTATCACTCAGTGCCTAAATCCCTGCCACTTAAACTCAGGAACCAAACAGATTCAGGTAAAAAGGACACCTGTACTTCTAAAAATAATCTGAGATTAGCTTGTTCACTTCTCTGTCCCCTACCCCTCCACCCCCACCGCCATGAGCTCCACGAGAACAGGGACATTATCTATCTTGATCAGTTATATGCCCAGCACAGAGTGGATGCTTAAAAAATGCTTGGTGAGGGGGGTAGGCTGAGCCTGGGTGACTCAGTCGGTTAGCATCTGCCTTCGGCTCATGTCACGATCCTGGGGTCCTGGGATTGAGCCCCACGTCAGGTTCTCTGCTCAGCAGGGAACCTGCTTCTCCCTCTCCCTCTGCCCCTCCAACCCACTCATGTTCTATCGCTCTCTCTCTCTCTCAGATAAATTAAAAAAATGCTTGGTGAATGAATAAATGGACCAGTCCCTGTTAGTAGACAATTGGATTATTTTCAGTATTTTGCTGCTACAAACATTACTGCAATAACACCTTTGTGTAAATATAGCTAGTTAGAATTGGAATTGCTATGTCAAGGTCTTTTCCCGATTCTTACCCCCTCCAATCATTTCTTCCTTACCACCCCACTGAACCTAGGCTGGCTAAGATCCCCCATGCCTCTCCATCAGTTCCGATACTCATGGACTGATTTTTGTCTTGTCTTAGTAGGCCTTCTTAAGCTATGAGACACCTGTCACCATGTCCTACCCGAAATATTTCCTTTGCTCCTGGTTGGATTTCAATCTCAAAAACGTACACAGTAAAATATGGTAAAGACGATTAGTGTGAAAAGACACTGAAAGCAGAGCTGAATTCACTGGAGCAGTGAGGGAAGGTTACATGGAAGTTTCAGCTTTATTTTGTGTCCTTCTCCCTGTGGGCTTTAGCTATAGCTCAACTAGAGTTATTTCAATTTCCTGGAGGATGTCATTCTCTCCCCACCTTCCCACCTGTCTTTCCCTTGCTAACTCCATTTCACATTTCAGGTGTTGGTTAACAGATCTTCAGTGAAGTCTTTTGATCCCCCATTGGAAGGTCAATCCCTGTATTATGTGCTTTAAGCCATTTTGTACACCTATGATTATTCAACTAAACCTGATAATCTATTTAATACTTGTCTTCCTAGTTAGATGGTAAGCATTATGAGGGCTGAGACTATACCTTTTTTTCTTTAACTTGGAAACACCAGTGTCCAACAAGTGTGTGATTCACACTAAACACTGTGTGGTTTCCTAACAGAGATTTGAATTTTAGAGAAGACAGGAGTGGCACCTTCCCCTATTGAGTGAGGAACATGGCCACATCCACACACAACACCGGCTCCTCCATGTCATATTCTTGCTCAGCACTGTGGCTGTGTCCCTGCAGGAACAAGGAAGTGTTGGAAAGTGGGAGATTTTTCTGACAGAGATCAGGGATCTGACTGTGCCAGGTAAGATGACACTAGATATTTACTAGGTGCCTGGCTTTACCAGATGCACTGTGGCAGAAAGAAAAATGCAAATGAAAAACACTGCAGTCCTTGAGTAGGTTCCAGTTTATTTTAAAATGTCTTATTCATTACAGCACAATATAAGATGATCCATAGTAAAGGGAGGAGCCACAGGCCTTCAGAGGAGGGAAAATGAAGGGAAGGAAGAGAAGCCTAAGGCAGGCTATGCACTGGGCCTAAAGAAGTAAGTACCATCTGAATGGGAGAAGAAAGTGGGAATCCAAGCCAGGGATTACCAAGCTTGAAAAGGGAGGCTGGGTTTGGGATGGGCATGGCCAGCAGGGAAAAAGGGGTTGGATCAAGGCAGACACTTTAAGTCAGGTTGTAAGAAGTAACACTTTCTCCCCATTGCCTACTGTGTCCTGTAAACATACAGCCCCTTTGGCTGTCAGCCAACCTTGATTCCTTTGCCTAACTGGTCCCTCTTATCTATTTATTATTATTATTTTAAAATAT